ATATTAAATATTAATATAGGTATTATATTATTAATAAGAAGATAAATATTAATACAATATACCTACCTTGATTTTTAATTTTTAGTTTTAACTAGCAGAGGCTTTATTGTCCAAATCATGTTATTTTTTAAATGTATATTAAATGCTTACATTTTTTCTTATATTATACATTTTCTTTAAAATAATTGTTGACAATTAATTATTTTTATAAATTATAAATTAAGTATGTAACTAACAAAAATTATTTAACTTGTACTAATAAAATAATAATTATGATTTATGATAAATAATATAAATATAAGATAGAAAATATTAGGTGGATCATGCGTAGGCTTGTAGCAACGAAACACGTTAGGTGTACATCACACGTTACAAGCCCACTATATATCTGGTTACTTTGACTATAGTTTAACAACAATGGGTATAGTATCAAAAATGGATCAAAATAATTATGTAGTAAATTTTCTACGAAAATATTTTGATTTGATCAGTGATGAATGCAATTTAGGATAAAATATTTTGCATACCTATTATAAAATAATTTACAATTGCGATTACAACCATTTTAAAATTAAAATTAAACCAAACATTTTATTTTATAAGATAATAAATTCAAAAATTATTGACAGTTTTTGTATTAAAATATTACTTTTTGTGACAGGAAATAATATGTAATTAGATTTGTAAGCAATATTAAATGCTATTTAAAAAATACTTATATAGGTAAATAATTTTAAGTTACGTACTTACGTATCCAACAAAACCCTTTTAAATCAAGTTTATCATATTATAGCATTTTAATTAATTTTTCGTCAATGTTTATATTTTAATTAGAAAAAAATTTGAATGTTTAAAATATATATTATAATATGTAAGTACCTACTTTTTTAATGTGCTATAGCATATGATTATTAGCTACCTACCTAATACAAAAAGTAAAACATTTTAATTTATTTACGTGTAGGTATATTGTAAATTGCATTATTTTACATATTGTTTTGATTGAAAGACTTTTATTTAATAAAATATTAAAACATGTGAGTATCTACTGCCTATATAGGTATTATATACAATATAAAATAATAATTATTAACACATTTATCAAATAACTTTTAATCTGTTGTAAAATAAGACAATTAAAAACGTTTCTACGAAAAAATGTTTTTAAAAAACATGAATTTTGGTTTACATAATAATTAAAATATACATGCATGTTTTTTACAAAATATAAATATATACTTTCATTTTATCCCCTAAAATATAATAAATGGCTAATTACGAAGTAAATAATAGAGTTTTTTATGACACTTAATATTTATGAAATATGTATACACACCATTTTATCTAACATGTATATAGAATAAGCAAACTAAAAAAACTAAATCACGATAAACTTGAAATTCACGAACTACGCACACGCGATACTCGAAAATCGGGCGACCGAGTCGAAAACACCGAGCACACTGAAACCATGGATATTTCAAAGTACCGCGCGCGTTAGTTGTACAGCTTCGGTAGTCAACGAAGAGTCTGGCGTGCTGCGTCGACGAAACTCCCGCCCATTTTTGCAACCCCGGATCAATTTGAAACTTAATTATGAATTAGTATAATTGTATAAAAATAAAAAAATAACGATTTACATTTTAACGGCTTTTCATTTATTTTTAATTTTTAAAATTTAAAAGAGTAACAAAATATACGAAAAAAATCTTAAAATGTCTTTACACTTCATGTTAAATAATTTAGCTTAAAAGTTACAATCAACAATACTCTCTACACCAACGTCAAGGGCGCCCACAGGGGGGGGCCGAGAGGGGCCATGGCCCCTCCCGCTTTTTTACCAATGTTTTTAATTTTTATAATATTACAGTATATTTTTACAAATATTTTAGAAGTTTTGTAGCATTATATTATTTTTATTATTTTAATAAAATAGATCAATAATTGATTAATCATAAGTGATTAGTGATAAAATTTTCTGAAGTTATTAGATGAAGTCACATTTTCTACCTTCAATAAAAAAATGTCTTTTAATAGCAGCTATACTTCCATCTACTACATGTAGCGTTGAAAGGTCTTTTAGGTTTGTATTACAATTTATAATATATTTTTATTTTTATTACTTCAATTATTAATTATGTTTTATATTTGCTTTAAATTAGCTCACTTAAAAGACTTAAAACATGGCTTCGTAGTACTGTAACTGAGAACCGCTTGAATGGCTTGGCATTAATGAATGTTTACAAAACTTATGTGCAAGCTCAAAAATCAAACATTATAGATGAAACAATACAATTATTTGCTATGGAGCCTAGGCGCATGCAATTTTTATTTAATGACCAATAATCTAATTAATCTAATTAGTTAATCTATATATATAAAAATGGAGACAAAAAATTCGAAATTGCATCAGTTGAGAACGGCTGGGCCGATTTTGCTCAAATTTTTTTTAAGATGTTCGTAATTGCCAGGTGAAGGTTTTTAAGAAAGAAAATTTTTAAAAAGTCAACCGAATAATTAGAAAAACTGCAAAAACTATTTATTGATGTCTGGGATTTGAACTCGATACCGTTGTCTTTATTTACTCTATTGTGGATTATATTATATTGGTTGCTATTGGTTAATCGGGCATGTTTGTTGATTTGTATTATTATTTTTTGTAAATATATCTTATATAATATAAATGAATGACGGTGTGTAGATTAGAACTATGGGAAGAAGATACGCTAATTTAAAAAGGGTTAAATTTGGTTTTTTTTATTCATCGGATTTTAGTACGGTTAGGTTAGGTTAGGATTTATAGGTAGGTGGAATTAAGTAAAAACGTCAAACTTGGTATAACTTTGGTACTTTTTGAGTTAAATCATACACTTACGTACAAACAGCACGGGGTCCACGATCTACCGCAGGTAAATTACCTATCTGATAATGTACTGCTGCAATTCAGAATTTTTATTCCGGGCAACAGAAAAGTTAAGATAAATCTAGAACATCATACACCGAATATTAAATAACGCATTGAACAATGTTTGAGTCATATAGAGTTGGTACATTTAACGGGAAACGAAGTGCACGGGATCAGCTAGTAGGTATAATATAATAATTTATAAGATTTTTTTTTTCAGTGTCTTGATGTCTCATATAATATTTTGATGAAAATATACCTACTGTTAATCATATTATGGTGTCATCAGTTTGTTTACTAAGTTTGTAATGAAACTATAAAATACTATACCTAATAATATGTTATGGCTATGTATAATATATGTATAATATAAACTTTGCCCCCCCCCCCGGTGAAAATTTCTGCGGGCGCCCTTGACCAACGTGGCAACGTCTATTATAAGCTACCACGTAAAAAAATCATATATAGGTAAATTATTATTATTATTATTATTATTATTATTACACTATTATTCTAGCCCGGAGAATCACTTAAGCAACGTCAGGTAAATATATGCACGAGTATAATGACGCTTGGCCGCGGTTGCTCGGACAAAGATACATTACAATTTTTTATTTTTATTTTGAAAAGTTACAATGTTTAAATTTACAAGTTCTTAGTACATAGCGTCATAGCTGTTATTATTTTTCTTAGCTACTGACAAAATATTTAATTTACCTTTTTAAAGAACTAAAACTAAATAAATTATGTTAGACACTTACCTAAGACATTTGGTCTTTGGAGTTATTTTACCACTTCAGAAAGTGTTCTCAAAAATGTTATTAAAAAAAATACACTAACCAAAATTAAAATATAAGAAAAACGTAAATAAAAATAGTCAACTGTAAGTGTATACGTAAAGTTTTCAAGTAGTTATTAATGATATTAGTAAAACACATTCATAATTCAACAATTAAACTAACTACTAACCTATTCCTACATATAAAATTACTTAAAATATAACGATACAATTAACTTGTATTATTTCACTATCAAGTATAGGTATATAGTAGCTGTAAAATAAGAATATGAATTTTTGTTTTTCACTACACACAACTATAGGGCGTGAAAGTTTTGCATAAAGATTCAAGTCAAATTGTTTTAAAAATTTAAACTTTTTATTACTAGATAACTTTAAAATAAATTAGTTCAATATATAATTTAGGGGGTGCTTATTTTCTCAAACTTATGTATAAGAAACAAATTACTGTACCTATATTATTATCATGGTTAAAATGAAACGCCGTTAATCATAGACCTACTAACAACTTTGACAAATATCTGTTCTAAGTTTTTTATTAAATATAAACCTTGTATAACAGTAGGTATTCGTCATTTGTCATACAATTTGCTGAAATTAGCGCTGTTTGAAGTTTATGATAGTTTAAAGTCACTCGTGAAGAAAATGCAGTAGTTAACCATCAGAATGTGAGAGAGCATTTAATTCGATGAATGACATTATATCTCCAAAAATAAATGGGTACCTCAAGTTCAGAACACATCTCATCATTAACCCTTATTAATTCTGTTTGTCCACCAGTTGACAAAATTAAACCTCGGAATGGGTGGGAAAAATTGGTAAAAGTGGATAATTTATAAATAATTATTTAAAAATAATATTAATTAATTAAGATAAAAGTTCCTTAGTCCTTATTTTTGTGGAAACCAGAAGAAAACAGAAATAATCAAAACGAAAATGATCAACTTAGACAGTTAGACGTAAACATAAAATATCTAATTCAACTGTTCAAAGTTATGAATTAACAGCTAGTCCATCTAAAAACCGTAGGAATATTCGAAGGAACAGTTTTTAACGAAAGCTATTCATCAAATTTGAATTCAACCGAAATATTAATAAGTATAGATATTTAACATTACCTATATAGCTATATATTAAATGGACATTTTAAAATCAAATAAAACATATAAGTTGTATACTTGTATACTGCAGCGCCATCTGTGAAGTGCAGTGGGAGGCGGTAATTGAAAAGTTTCTAAACGGCCATTATCGTCCGGACGGCGGACACTTCTAAAAAAGATAATAATACTCAATGGCCTAGCGAAATTCCTGTAGTGAATTTTTTAATGCCTGAATCAGACTTGCAGCTTTATCCAAAGTCAAAGTTTTAATTTGTAAAGCTTTAGTAGCACGATCAATTTGACCTAATATTTGATTCCAGACATCAAGGTAGAAAAGAAATGTTAAATTAATGTTTTTGAGTAGACTTTGAGCAGAGGAAGAAGTTTCAGCATTTAAAGAATTGGCTATCATATTTTTAAGTACTCCATAAACTTCTTTAATTTGAGTACTCAATGGTTTTATGGCATTGGATTTCGAAGACCATCTTGTGTCCGAGTGTCCTTTTAATGAAACTTTTAATGTTTTCATCAGAGTAGTCCAACGACTTGTAGAGCGAGAAAAAAACTTAAAAATGCTTTCTACGGTTTCAAAAAAATGTTTCATTTCTGCATTGATTGAAGCAGAATGTACTCCTGCCAAATTCAAACAGTGGCTTGCACATGGTATATAAAGAGCGAGATTATTTTTTTCTTGAATTCGTGCTTGGACTCCACGATATTTTCCTGCCATATTGGCACCATTATCATAGCCTTGACCTCTTGCATCTTGAATATCGAGCTGATCATCTTGTAATTTCTTCATTATATCAGATGCCAATCCTTCTCCGGTCTTTTCATCAGTAATAATGAAGTCAATAAAACTTTCTTCTATCTTCACTTTTCCATTAGCTATATAGACATATCGAATAATTTCCGACATTTGTTCATTATGAGAGACGTCAGGAGTGCAATCAAACAGGAGACTATAGTATTTAGATTTCCGAATCCTCGATAAAATTTCATTACGAACTTTCTTTCCTAATAAATTCACAAATTCATTTTGAATTGTTGGTGATAGATAGTTTACTGACCTTTTTGTATGATTTGAAATAAGCTCTTCTAGTGTTTTGTCGTACTTACTGAGTAATTCAATGATATCCAAAAATACGCCACTTCCCTGTACTCCAATTTCTGACGTTGAGCCTCGTAATGCTAAATTGTTTTTAGCACAAAATAAAATCGAATTTAAAATCGCTCGAAGGATGTGACGCCACCGCTCTTTTTCTAAGAAAATTGCGTTTTGCAATGATTTATCAATACTTTGTGAGTTTTTCAATCTAGCTTCTAAGGTCTTCCATTGAAAAAAGTATTTTCGATGATCTGGTGAAGTTTCGTGATCTTCAATTCTATTTATATTTTTCCAATCAGAAAACCCTTCTTGACGATTAGCAATCAAAGGTATCTGACTTTGTCGATATTCAAACAAGCAACAAGGAAAACAGAACAAAGCATTTTTATTCTTGGAGTAAATTAACCAATTACGGTCTATGGTTTCACTGTTGGGTAACTGTTTCTTGAACCAATGAGGAAGAAATCGACGTCCATCTTTTGTTTGAATACTTCTAAAATCGATATTTTTACCCTGATCCGGGCCATGCAAAATCAAAGTTATTCTCAAGCCATCTGTCATATGTACCCATGATGGAGGATTGTTGTAATCGATACTGTGTTGTTGAGTAACAGAAATTATCTTCGAATGACTTGATTCAACATTTTCGTTGCTATCAGAAATTTCTAAAATTGGCGTTATACTCGATATCTCCATCATATTGTTCGATGACTCTGTGATATTTGATTTATCTTTATCAGATATCGCAGTTAATTTCGATAATTTTGATTCGTTTGGTTTAGTATCAATTTTCATGGTCGTATCATTCAACGGTTCTGGATTATTTAAGTTGTTATTTTTTTTTAGAGGAATGTCCGGAGACTCGTTAATTGGTGGTGCATTGTTAAGATCATTATGGATTTTCACAGAAACATCAGATTTTTTTAATGATGAACAAGTAGACACTGTTGTAGATGTTGAAACCCACTTTTCAAAAGTGTTTGCCAACTTCTCGTTTTCAATTTTAATTTTTTTTTTATTCTTGCGATTTTGAGCTCCACTATTCTTTCTCTTAAATGTTTCGGACATAATTACTTGATTCCTAAACCATTTAAGTTAAACAAAATTTAAGAACTGTGTTTGCAAGCAAAATCATTTTAAAAGTAATAAGACAGACGACATTGGCTAGTTATTATTGTGTAGAATTGTAGAAATAAATTAATGGTAGGTAGTTATACTTTATATTTATTTATTTACGCTAAAAATGATCAAAATACGTATGTTATAAAAATGACAGGTCCCTATGATTATTTTGTACGGATAATAATAGGCCGTGATGCCTGATCACCAAAATACTTCGCGTTTGCGTCTCACTTCTACTCACCGACCGACCTTCACGAATAACAACGACAATAAATTTATACTAAAAACGGCGATTCACACCCAATATAACGTACATCGTACATGATATTATATAACTCACAGCAAGGGCGTATTTTTGGGGGGGGCGATGGGGCGATCGCCCCCCCCTGAGCCTCTGTTTTTTTTTTTCTTTTTATTATTTTAAATTTTAATATTTTCGTAATAATATAACGACTTATGATACACCAAGTGCACGCCGAATATAGTTAAAGAATTTTAAATTTTAAAATATGGTTACACTGCAACACTGTTTATCGCACTAGACAGTGAGAAGTCTATGGTTAGCATAAGCTGGTCTATGACGGTTAGAAATATCGTGATTGTAATTGTGATTAGTGGTTATCAATTTATCATACAGTTTAATGTTTATATTTTTCGTTTATCATCTGGCTGACGATGTTGACGGTTGTGTATTAAAATTAAGTTATTGGTTAATATTATATAGGCTAATAAGTTTTATGTGAATGTCAATAATATAACGTTCTTAAAATGAATAAACGAAAACAGTCTACGCTCTTAGAGTTTTGTAATAAAAAAAAGAACAATAGTTCCAATTCTACTGTGGTAACTGCGGATGTCGATGATGCAGTTGTAATATCCGAGGTAATACCAGCGTCAACAACAACTTATAATAAAGTAACTACTAGTAATAATTGTAATATCGAGGTAGAAAATGATATTTCCTCATTAGTTATTAGTAATGATATCGGTCTTTATATTAATTCATCACGTGTTATTGAAGATACTGTTAAAATAAAACTTTTAGAAAATAAGTGGAAACCACCCCCTAGCTTTAAATATCCGTTTTCAGTTCATAAAAAACAGGGAAAGGAAGAAAAACGATTTTTGAGGTATAACCATTTTGAACAATATCCATGGCTTGTTTATTCGGAGTCATTATCTGGTTGTTTTTGTTTATACTGTACATTGTTCTTGGTTCAAAATACTGGTGGAAAACAAAATACTGAACAATTAAAAAAATTAGTTACAGTTCCTTTAAAGAAATATGCTAAATTACTAGGCAAACATGGTGATTTGGAAACTCATAGTAACAATGATTATCACAAAAATGCTATCTTACGTTCTGAAGATTTTGTACGAACACATCTCTGTCCCGACAAACGAGTAGATAATTTATTAAGTACCGAACGTTATAGACAAGTAACTGAAAACCGAAATCGGTTAAAGCCAATTGTTGAATCTATAATATTTTTGGGCCGCCAAAATATTGCGTTTAGAGGACACCGCGACCAAGGAAATTTAACTGATAAACATAATTTAAATGAAATTAAAATATCATCTTCTGTAGTTAACGAAGGCAACTTTCGTGAACTTTTGAGATTCCGTATTGGATCTGGAGATGATTGCTTAAAAAATCACTTGCTTACAGCCCATTCAAAAGCAACATATATCTCACATACCACACAAGATCAATTGATTAAATGTTGCAAAGAAGAAATACTAACGATTATTTTAAAAGACGTAAAAAAAAGTCGATATTATAGTATTATATTTGATGAGACCACGGACATAGCTCATATTTCTCAAATGAGCTTAATTTTAAGATATATCGATGAAAAAAATCAAGTTTTTGAACGATTTGTCGGATTTTTGAATTGTCATGATAAATCTTATGATAATGCAAATGTTGACGAAGAACTTCAAGTAAACGAACCCAAATTGACTGGGGAAAAATTAGGAGATATTGTAGTATCTATTTTAAAAAGCATGTCACTGGATCTTGAAAACTGTGTTGGTATTGGAACAGACGGATGTTCGGTCATGATTTCTCAACTTCGTGGTGCTGTTCAACAGGTCCAAAAATATTGTGTAAATGCTGTACACAGTCCCTGTTCTAACCACGCATTAAATTTATCAATTTCAAAGTCATCAGACGTACAGCTTGTAAGAAATACAATGGGTATTATAAAAGAAATAATATCATTTTTTAAATTATCATCAAAGCGAAATTTTGTTTTGAAGAACAATCTTAAAGGATGCAGACGTTCCATAACTAGTTTATGCGAAACAAGGTGGGTTGAACGTCATACTAGCATTTTTGAATTTCAGTCTTGTTTATCAGAAATTATAGAAAGTTTAACTGACATATCTGAATGGACTGACCATATTTCTTCGTCAAAAGCTAAAACACTTTTAATGGCTGTAACTTGTTGTGATTTTATTATTACCTTATTTGCATTGACAGACGTTTTAAGTGTTACACTACCAGCCAGTAGACTTTTGCAAAGTTACGATAGAGACATTGCAGAAGCATCTGATATAATCAATGGTATTATACTTACCCTCTCTGGAAAACGATCTAATTGTGAATCAGACTTTTCACAATTATTTGAACAAAGTAAGAATGTTATGAATACATTGGACATTGATTTAAAATTACCAAGAATTGCCAAACGCCAAACACAAAGATCTAATACTCCTGCTCAATCACCAGAAGAATATTATCGTCGAGTTTTATATATTCCATTACTCGAAAACATTTCAGAAGACTTGCAGTCACGTTTTCTTAATACAAAAACTAAAGGAACATTTATATTGATGCTGCTTATACCATCCAATGTTTTAAACATATCAAATGACAAAAAACACGAACTTCTTCAGGCTGTAACATATCACTATGCATACTTGGATATTAATATTTTACAATTTCAAGGAGAAATAGAACTATGGAAAACCAAATGGATTGAAAGTAAAAATGAATGTAAGTATTTGATTTATATTTGTCTTAGTTTATATTTATATTATTATTATTTATATTAGTATAAATATTTATACTAATAGTAATTTATAAAATTATAGGTAAAACAATTCCTGAAAACGTATTAGAATCAATTACGCAATGTAATGAAATACTATTTCCCGGGATCAGAAAAATACTGATTATATTAGCTACTTTGCCAGTAAGTGTTGCTTCCGCAGAGAGGAGTTTTTCGACGTTACGCAGGTACTTACATAAAGTTTGATAAAAAATAATTATAGATTAATTTATTTATTTATGCTTCTTATGCTTTTTTGCTTTATGATTTAATGCTTATTAGATTAAAAACTTGGTTAAGAAGTCAAATTGGACAGGAAAGATTGACTGGTTTGGCACTGTTGCATGTACATCGCGATATAGAATTAGATGCATGGAAAATAATAGATCGGTTTGCAGAACACAAACGCTTTAAAGAATTTGTTTTATAGAATAAAAATAAATAATTACTTGGTGCTTAATTAAAATATTATAATTAGATTTTTATTATTATTATGATTATTAACTAAAGGTTACATATTCGTATCTTTTTTTACCTATAAATAATTAATTGTATGTATGAAATTTGCAGATCAAAATGACTTGACCAGCAATAAGTTACTAATTACTATGTTGACTTATAAATTAGAATTTAATAAATTGATTATGCCTTTATTATTGTTTTTTTTTTTTAAATTGTGTAAAAGTCGCCCCCCCCTGAAAACAGGGCCAGAGACGCCCTTGACTCACAGATGACAATATGTTACATTGCTATAATTATAATAAAAAAAAAAAAACAATATAAATAACGAATAATGTGTTGTACATGTTTGAGTGTGTAAGCCGGTTGGTGGCGGCGGAATGATAGGCGGCGATTACCGATACGGCGATACCTATTATTATTCGTACCTATTAAGTATTATTATAAATTATAATAGTTCATTAGATTTTTAAGTTTAAAATAAACAACTACTTACCAACTTACAAAATGGATGTTCGGTTAGGTAGTCGGTTGTCCGATTGTGTCGTGTCGTACTGAGTCGTAGTGTTGTACTACTTGTCTACTTAATACTTAAACTCTTATAGTTGAATAATTGAGTGGCGCATGCTAACAGAGTATGATATTTGAACAAGACGTGCAGAGTGATAGTGATAATTGCAGAAATGCAGACTGATGGCCAGTATAAATATAATAAATGTGTTCGTGTATAGCGTGTTTTGACTGACGAGTAATGGGACTATGGTCTATGGGAGCCGCGGTTGTCGGCTGCGGCTGGGATTTACCAAAATAAATGTTTATCACATATGCCATAGATACTAATAGACTGATTGCATAACGATAATTCAATTCCGTTACAACGTACAATGTTTTCGTAGAATATTCAATATGAAATCACAATAATAACAGTAGAAGAATAATTTTCAAATGCAAAAGATACTGAACATAGTAGGTACATGTACATACATTAAACTTATAATACAATTAGGTTTAGGTAATTTAATAGTTAAATATATTTTTTTAAGTAAGCCATTTTTGAATGCTCCCTAAGTACTATATTGGTAGAACAATATTTTAATTTAAAGAATGTATCAAAGTTTAGCGCCCCCATTTCATTGGCGCCCGAGGCAAATGCCTCAGTCGCCTCACCCTTGCTACGGCCCTGCATTTAGTTACAAAAGAGTTACATTTTGTGCAATTTCAAGTCAAAAAATGGGGGTTAGTAGGTAACGGTAACCGCTATGTTGTTTAGAGGGTGTCTTGTCGAATGTATAGGTACCTCGTCATTGTGTAAGTCACCTACAACAGTAGTGTAGACGTGTATAGTCTGTAATGTGTGAGTTAAATTTTAATTAAAATATATAACTAGCAGACATTCAGACGATTACGAGACTTATGAGTTGATAGTATTAC